AGCAATCAAAAACAGGTCAATAAAATAGATCAACCGGACATAAACGGATAAGAAACTATTCAAGACATCCCGGTACAAATTGCTGATATCGTTATGATATCACGATGGCTTTGGGTGCATAGCGTAATAGCTGACAAACCGTACTGCAATAGTGATCCACTTTCCTCTTGACAGTATGATTGCAGGGTATTGACAACGTCGATACAGTCAATGCTAACCTATGTGTTAAGTGGCAGACCTCAGGCTCATATCGGTCGTGAATACAAGATAATACAACATCCTCTTGGCCGCTTTTGTTAGAGATGGAAACGATCTTCGATATACTGAAGGATTTTCACTTTTCATAAAAGAGAAGCATATGCTCGGAAGCATAAGGTATAAGCATATCCTTGTTTTCACATTCATAATGATTACCTTATACTCGCGAGGATATCCTCCAAGAAGAGGTAAAAGGTTGACTGGTATTTGTATCTTGAGCGACATGTCCCGACTTGTTCTAGCTTGTAGTTGACGTTTGAGTTCGTTCACTCAGCATCACTGACAGTTGTACTCCAGAGCTTACACAGACCGTTCCGTACTTTTACTGGATACAGTTCTCAAATTAATAAGCATGTAATCCTCAACTGATCAGGAAACTATAGGAAATAATGGCAACGACCTGCAGTTCATCGCAGATGAAATTGCGATTGCTCCCATTATTTTGCAAAAATCACAAGTTCCAAAAATAAAAATGAGAAAGGACGATGCCTTGAAGACGATGTTGAATCAAGATTCGGTAAACCATTAGACACTAAAGGCTTTTTAAAAAAAATCAACAACATGAAATCAAGATTGAAGAAAAAACAGATCTAAAGAAAAACTGGTAATAAAGCAATTAAATTGTTAGATTGGGAAAGAAAGTTGCTGAAAGCTATGGAGGCTGACTGTAATCCTACAATTGGGAAAATTAGAGGTGTCATTCAGGTTGGTAGTGTTCAAGAAGAAGGAAGTGAACTAAATTCCGAGCGCAGTGTTGTTGAGTCTGCTACTGACCACAATCACAATTTTTGAAGAATATGCTTTCTAAGTCAAGTATAAGGTGAAGATTATGAATATCCTTTTAGTTATGTCACTGCTTGGAAGGATATGATATACTCAAAAAGCAAAAGCATTTACTTCAAATCATTATAAATACCATCTGGAGGATTTCCTTCAAAATTTGCAAGTACAAGGTTATCCTTTGTTTCATGAATACGGCTCATTATGTTGCGATAGAAGCAATTTGGTCTGCTTTCGGACAATAAGGTTTAAAGAGGCACAGGGATTTTCGAGCAAGGTGTAAACATACTTTCTTGAGTCCACGCTCGTTCACACTGTAGTATACTGTTGATCCTACTAAAAAACAATTAACTGACGCCGTAAATGTACGAAAACTGAATGCTTCTTTATCACCAGACAACACACGCAGCCACCACATCAACTTAGCAGAAAAACCTGACCATTTTATCACTTGTTGTTCATGGCAAGATAAATCTATATGTAAAAAATTCTTGAATTCCAATAAACATACGTAGGTGTTTTTGTCACTGAGTATATGTTAGATAATAATAATAATAATAATAATAATATATTTATTCATTCAATGTACAAAGATAACAAACAATATGAGAAAATAAATATAAAATCAAAACAGGCCCAATAGAAGGCATCGCCTGTACATGGACCAATAAATTTAAGTTGAAACTGTAGAATGCAAATGACAAAAAGGACAAAAATTAGCTACAGTAGATTATGTATTTAGTTGATGTTCGTATTTATGAGTTTATGAATTTCAGTCCTAGATATAGAATGTAGCCACTTTTTTAAATTTCTTTTGAAACAATTTCCGAAACGTAAATCTTTTAAGTCTTTAGGTATAATTTCATAAAATTTAGGCGCTAAATAGAGATATGATCGCTGCATTATAGATTTATGCGGTTGAGGAACTACTGTGCCACGAATTTTGTACCTGGTATAATGATTATGTTTAATTTTTTGGTCGATGTTTACAAATTTATGGTAGTGAGTGATACTGTGTAAGAAATAAAGCTGTCTTATATCATACATTCGAACATCTGCGTATAATTTTTCAATGGGATAAAGTTTCGGTTTTTTAAATATCATTTTTAGAATACTTTTTTGAAAAACATCTAAATTATAGATATGTGAGGGACATGCAGCTCCCCATGCTAATATGCCATATGTGAGATGAGGCTCAATCAGTGCATGGTATAATGTTCGAAGATATTTTTCTGTCAATATATTCCCAAGGTATTTAATTTTGTAGGATACAAATCTAACTTTCTTTAAAATATAATTGACATGGATGTCCCATCGTAAGTGAGGATCCAAGACCACTCCAAGGTATTTTATGTTGGGCACTCTATTAATTTGCATTTTTTGATCATTAATGTTGAAGGAGAAATTTGTGTAATTTGGCAGATGGCAAATGGTAAAAAATGTGTTTTAGAGTAGTTAATGCTTAATTTTCTACTGTTAAACCACCGAATAATTTTGATATTAAATCATTTTCAATTACATTTTTTAGATCAGACCAGTCAGTACCTTCATATAATATTGCAGTATCATCTGCAAAACTAGTTATTTTGCCAACACAATTAATTTGGAAAATATCATTTAAATATATATTGAATAACAGCGGACCTAAGACAGTTCCTTGTGGGACACCACACTTAATATACATTTCTTTACTAAATAATCCTGATATCTGCACAGATTGTGGGCGATTTGACAAATAACTTTCGATCAGTGAGTACGCGTTTCCTCTGAAACCAATTCTCTCCAATGCTTCTAATAATAATTTGTGATTAACTGTGTCGAAAGCTTTCTTTAAATCAACAAAAATGCAGATTGAAGGGATTCTGTTATCAATATTTTGATTGATTGATTGATTTGATTTACAATTTTAGTTATTGCGTCCGATGTAGCCTTCCCTTCTGTAAATCCATATCGATTTTCACTTAAAATTTTGAATTTTGTGAGGTATCGAATCATTCTAGTAGATAAAACTTTTTCAAAAACCTTTGCTACACTGGATATTATTGATATTGGTCTATAGTTGTTATATATAGATATTTGCCGAGATGATGAGTTAGTTTAAAATAAAATAAAAATAAGCCATGTGTTATAATCTAACAGCTTCGGATGAGTGCTGGGACATCGCGATTCATAGCTCATCGTGTTACTAGAGGATTTGTAAGTAAAGACAGAACCGCAACGTACGTTTAACCGAGAGTAAAACATCAGTGTGTCTTTGCACATCCTTAGCCGGTTTTGCTGGATGATATCGTGATTTTACCGGAGACATTTTTGGTATCGGTTGGTAGAATAATGAAGTGCGCAACTGACCGTATTCTGCCTGATCTCTATAATTCGTCCCCCGGTTGGGATCTGTATCTAGGCCTAAAAATGCACGGTAATTTTCTGGGACGTACCTGCTAACTGTTTCGGTTCTTATCACTTGACGTATTACTGGAATTTAGGAAATACAAAGGGTACTATAAAAGTTTTGCGATACAGCTTTATTTATTGACTTCGTTCAAAGCAATTTCCACCACATTCATGTCCTCATCGCTAGAACGCCGTATTTCTTTCAGCTCCTTTTACACATATGGAAACTATTCAAAGTCGTTCTTTGGCTTGAAAGCGATACGTTTTCAAAACGCTTAGCGCCCCATGTCGTACGGCAAAGCGCTAAGCTAGAGTTCCCCAAACTTTTTTGTGTCGTAGACCCCTTGCCATGTTTTTCCGTGTTGGGTAGACCCCCTACTTACCTGATATTGATTTCCTGTGAATTTCTAACTGTAGTGAAGTTTAGTGTTAAAAACTTAAAGTAAAAACACATGTTAATTTATACATTTATTAATTGAATTTAAATTAAAACTACTCAAAATAAAATTTTTTATCTGTTATGTAAAATATACGTAACATTAAATAAACAGGTGTCTGACCAATAAGTGCCCGCATTGGGAATAAGTGCCTGCATTGAAAAAAAAATAAGAGGGATAAAATAAAAAAAGTGAAAAATAATAAAAAAAAAGTTTTTTACTTAAAATAGTACAATAAGCGAGTTCGTTTATTAATTATAACATAAACGTATGTTCTACAATAATTTCACTGTTAGTTTGATTAAATTCCGCTTCTTATACGTTTAAGTTATCTAAAAATAGGCAAAAAATTAACGAATTTTAGTGTGTAACTATCCTTGAATTATCAGAATAATTAAAGAAAATATTTTCTATAAAGGGGGGTTCTTTAAAAAAATCAATGCGGGCACTTATTCCCAACGCGGGCATTTATTGGTCAGACATCAATAAACATAAAATAAACTATAAATAAAATAACATAAGCAATAAGTCAATATTTTTAGTGAGAAGGATGAACCTGATGCTTTAATAATAAATTATCAACATTTGGCGTCAATTTTGTTAAGGGTTAATCTTAAATCTCCTCGGCTAATGATGTCCAGTCTGTTTCTTTTTTTTCGTTAGGAGACTGGTAACAGTGCTGAACCCCCTTTCCACTAGGTATGACGATGGAAAGGAAATTAAAAATTTCCTCGCTATATTCCATAATACGGGATAAGTAACGGGTATGTTGTTTTGCAGCCAGAATTGCTGATATCCGTTTTTAAACTGAACCTTAAGTTCTTCGTTTGTACTTAGTTCAGTCAGTTCCTCTTGTATTATGACATTCGTTTCTTCTATGTCACCATATGGATTAATTATCCACGGTGGTATTACCATAGTCAAAATATCCTCAAACCTAGATTCAAAATCTGAATAGAGGGCATTTAAATGTTGAACGTAAGTTGAAACGTCGTCTTCCTGGCAGCTTGTCTGTGACAAATTGGGGAACTGAGAAAATTCGCCCCGTCCAATATTTTGCTTCATTAGTTTAACTCTGGCAAGAAACGCTGATAAGATGGACTTTGTTTTAATCAAATTTAAACTGTCGCCTTGTATATATACTATAATGTATCCATCAATTTCTTTCAAAAATACGTTCTCGCTAGGAAATTTCGTATGGGTCGACCACTCTCCAAAAAATTATTATGTGGCAAGTTGCTCCTCTCTTCTGCCAAGGCGTCACTGAAGTTGTCACCATCACTTATCTACATCTTCCTGATCATTGTATAATGGAATATTGTTTTCTAAGCATAAGTTGTGCAAAACTGCACAACTGTTTACGATTTTTGCACAAGTTTCTGGTGCATAATGTAAAACTCTGTCTTTTAGTAGACACCTAAATCTGTTTTTTAATAATCCAAAGCATTGTTCTATAGAAACCCGGATTTGCTTCATTTTTTCATTGAACCTTGATTCTGGAGTGCCTTGAGGTGGTTCTGGTCGGTAAGGGGTTATCAACCAGTGGCGTAGAAGGTATCCAGAGTCACCTTAAAAGAAAATACTATCTTTTAGTAGATCCAAGGCTACAACATATAGCGACATGTTTCACCTAGTAAATAAATAGAGGCTGCCCATATATTCTTCAGACAACGTTCTCAGAAATTCCTCGATTCGTGACTGACTCCATATAAAACTATCATGGGCGCTGCCAGGAAAGCGACTGTTTACGTTCGTTATTTTCAAATTTTCATCACATATCTGCAGTAAACAAGTGTCAAGTATGCAGTTGTAATATATGCGGAGTCAGAGAAAATTTGATTAGGGGTCGACACTTTGTGCATTGAGAAATTAAAATTATTTCATGCATTCATGATGCATGGCGATCAAACTTGGGAAGACAATGCCCCCATGCCTCCTTTAACTCCGTCCATGGATGTAAGGGCAGCTTACGATCTGAACATTGAGGGAATGGTTATGTTTCCTATTGATATATGTATATACGTATATATAAGTTCATTTTCGATTGGACACACAATAGCTATGTGGGTGCAATCAATACAGCCTATAATTCCAGGTACCCGGTACTTTTCGACAAATCTAGAAAAAAAAAGCAATATGGGTACAGCCTGACCGTCAAATTTTGATCATTTTATTGAATAGCTTTGAAGAAACGTAGTGTAGGACAACATCGTGATAGTTCCTCATATATACATATTTATAATTCTAAATAGAAATATACCTTTCTCTGGTGCTGGTTAACTCTTGAATTGTCTTCGGAAAATGGACATACCTATTCAATACTTCTCTAGTGTTAAATGCTCCCAACACCTCATGTAAAGTTCTTGAATTCGATGGCTGGCTGAGAGTTACTGTATGATTTCTGCCTACATCCAGCTGGTATATATATATATATATAGAATAAGATTTTTTGTCGATCTTGGAAGTACAAGAACTTCATTAATATTGTTACTTACCTTTGCCTCTCCACATGTTCAATAATCAGGATTAAATTAACCCCAGCAAACTGGTATGCCATTACTAGGTATACTTTGGATATAATTATCTAAATATAAGGACCACAGTAGCCTCAATTACACCCAAAATCACGATCATTTGGTAGTCGTTTTGGAAGCGACAAGCGCTTTTCATTAACGCTGAGTGTGCGAGCAATGGGAATACCATATTTTGCCAAGGGCGTCTAAAGCAAGTGCTAATGACGTACCTAATATTCGCTGAGCGACTGGAAAACGCTTAGAGTTTTGGAGAACGAGAATACTGGTCCTGGACTGTAAGGAGGGCGCTCAATAAGTTTCAGCCCAGTTTAGTGGTCGAATACTCGGTGCAGGCTTTGGCGCGTTGACGTGGTGGAGGTACCAAGTGTCCACTCTTGACTTTGGCCGCAGGCTGAATGACTTTAGGCAGGCATTGTTCGATGGACCACTTAGCTGTAACTGTCTTCTGTGTGTCCAAAATGACACGCTCCACAATCCCGCTCGATTAAAAAAATACAGATATAGTTTCTCTTTAACCGATTTGTTACAGCTACAAGTGTGTCTTCATCATCAAAGACCCAAACTTTGTTTTGAGCCTTGGTCGGCACATTGTAGCTATAGAGCCAAGTCTCGGCACCTGTGACGATGCGTTTCACATACCGAGATTGCCCTTTCAAACATTTTCAGCATCTTTCGGCACCAAGTCATATGACGCGTCTTCTTCTCTTCCGTTAGACTAGGCGGTACCCAGAGATAACTAAATTTCCTTACGTGTAATGCAGAATTCAATGAACTGCTGATGCACGATGGTGTAAGGTCTCCTCTATCTCTTGGTACGTCACCCTCCGGTCTTCGTTAAGGATTTTCCTCACAGCAGTAATGTTTTCCTCTATTACTGACATTCAATTCAATTCAATTTAAAATATGTATTTCGTCATGAATAAACATCATGAAGAAAGGAAATTCTACAATATAGAGCAATGACGAAAATGGACAGTCTCTCGGTTATAAAACCGATACATTGGACACTTTAATACAAAGAGTCCATGCGAGAACCCTAAAAATTCTTAAACAAAATAAAAAAAAACAGGATGCTAACGATCCACTTTTTCGATTTTATCCACTAGGATCTTTTTAAAATATCTAGAAGTTGAGCACAAATAGTAAGCATTTCAACCCACAAAATTTTGTAAAAAGCTCTAATAGCACCTCAGGCAATTATGTCCTGCTTATATCCAGAAAAACATCACAAACTGTAGAACACAAATTGAAGGTAACGGCGAAATGGGTACATTTCACGGGTCATGAAATTCAAACGAAAATGCAGGTATAAAATATACCAAATTATCGTTCTCAAAAACATATTTCCTTGAAATATCGATAATTTTGAAGTTCCACGCTAAATTCCCCTATACTTGACTGGAGTGATATCCGAATATTCATTCTTCCCTACTGTCGGTAGTTGCAGATAGATCTGTTGGCTCTTGGTGTCAAACCTATAGAGCAAGTACCGATTTTTTCAAATCATTACCACATTATCCGTCGGATTTTCATTACTTAAATTTCCTGTAATCCCTGGGATCAGCAGCTTCTTAATAATAGAACGTGTTTCACTGATATGAAACATGCAACATGTAGAATCACCTTCCCCCACTGTTCAAGCAGTACAATTTTTTTCTGTCAATGATAAGGTACCCCTGTAACGTCAAAAACGGAGTTTCAGCAATTGTTACTTTTTCTTTTTTGCCTATAGCACCATTGCCACTGGACTAAAACTACAAAGCTTTGGCATACTAGTAACTCCTTGTGGAAATTTCATAAATATCAGCAGCTATTTCCAAGTTGATGAGTGATACAGTTTTTCGTGATGTAGATGTCATATGACTTAAAAAAGCATAACATCTCATTTTAGAAATTTTTCCCGATTACAATACTTCCTCGCCAATGACGTGGGAAGTAAAACGACTTTAAAATCGAGGAGTATCAGCGATCGCGATTATGAGTATCTATTTGCAGAACGACTTATCTACGCGATATTATATGAAATAGGGCCACCAAATTATCTGAATACGTCCTTTCTTAGTCCGTACATTGCGCCGTAACGCTTGGGTTGGCAGCACGAAACAGTAGACAACATTCGTCCAAAATACGATTTGTAGAGGTTTGCGCGCTTCGAAACTGACGCTTTATTTTTTGATATTTCATATATTACTACTATTATTACATAGTCAGTAGTCGGAATTGTAATATGCACCGCTAATTTGGGACCCAATTTACAACTGCTACATTGATTCTCTTGAGCGTGTTCAAAAAAGTTCCTTAAACCTCTCAAGGCTCCCGGTGCATATCCTGAGCAGGGTATATCTGAAAGTCTGTTCTTAAACTAGGTTTTAAATGCAGTATTTAGGGCTGAGGAGGAAGTGTGCGTCAATCATTTTCTTGCATATACTGCTGCTAAACCAAATTAATGCTGATGAGAATGTGGTTTAATTGAACTTGATGTCCCATCTATTCAAACTCGTACAGTTTCACACTTTTATTTTTTTTATATGTAATGTGTGAAGCCTTTAATGCTAGGATAGTCTTGTAACTAAACTGAATCCAAATTCAAGATGAGATGTAAATAATAACAGTTAGCGCGTGATCTCTCGGTAACAGGTGGGGACAGCGCCTCTTATTAGTCAATTCGCCGTTAAATTTCAAGCGGTCGCCTGGCGGAATAATGCGCGGGGCAGGGGCAGGGCAGGCAGAGTTGCCTTCAGGCCACCGACCGTCGCGTGTATCACTGCGTGCTCGTGTTTTCGTATTCACCTTGCTTGGTTGTTGTTGTTAAGTGTATTTGAGTAATTTGTTAAGTTTCTGTTTGTTATTGTTCTTCCTCGATATTATTTGTTTTGAACCAATCCTGAACATGTCCAGTACAGATACTGCTGACGAAGCTGTAGGCTACTCCCTTAGCCCTCCTAGAAAGCGATCAAAAAAAGACATCTTAGCGTAGACATGAAAGATGTCATATTGAATACATTCAAGATAGAGCGGAAGGAAGACGAAACATCAACTAACCCGAAAATAGCTCTGAAAGTGGCAGATAAAATTGGGGTATGCCAAGCGACAGTGTACAATGTTTTGAACGAACTTAAGAAAAAGCATGCCTTTTCCAATGATGGGTAAAAATCGCAAAAGTATCATAAGATCGTTCGATGACGCTGACAAGCATGCGATTCGGAGGAAAGTGCACGAGTTCTTCTTCAGAAACGAAATACCGACAGTTGATAAAAAACCACGGGAGGTTAATGAGGATGCTATGTTACCAAATTTCAAACGTTCGACTATTCATAAACTTTTGAAGCATCTTAATTTCGAATGGAAGAAACGAGGTCGTAACAACTTACTTATGGATAGAGAAGAAATTGTTCTGTGGAGGAGAGAGTACCTGACCAAAATTAAATCATTCAGGGATCAGCACAGGAAGATCTATTACCTGGATGAAACCTGGATTAACGCTGGGCGCACTACTCCGAAGGTACGGGATGACAAAACTGTGACTTCATCTAGAAGGGCATTTCTAGATGGACTGTCGATCGGATTGGTAGTTCACGGTATCAATTTTTGCGCACAATATCTCTCTATATTCGTACCTACAAGACGTGCATGTGTACTTAGCGGATTTTATCTTCCTAGGCAAAGGAAAAAGGCTCATTATTTGCCACATTGGGGGTGTAGATGGCTTCGTAGATGACGGCTTATGGTCTTTTGAGTCAAAAAAAACCACTGACTAGCATGAAGAGATGAATGGGGAAGCATTCGAGAAGTGGCTTTCAGGCATTTTACCACGTCTCGAAGACAATTCTGTGGTTGTTTTGGATAATGCTCCCTATCATTCTCGCAAAATAGAAAAAATCCCAACTTCAGCTTCTAGGAAAGCAGACATTCAGAATTCCTTACTGAAATTACAACTATGTATTAGATACATATTGTGAAACAACACAGACCAAGACAGTACTCCGTTTGCCGCCTTACCACTGTGAGCTCAACCCCATTGAGCTCATATATGG